GTCCGCCCCGCTGTCCAATATTAAATCATGGACAAGGGGGGCTTTGTTGACAATGGACCTGGCATTAAGCAACAGCAGCCTACAACTAGTAGTACTAGTTGTACAACCTGTACTCCCCTGTCACCAGTACTACAGGATGGGCCTTTTGAGGGGCCGGAACAAGGAATCGCTCTAATATAGCGAGTCCTCGTTCCCCAAAGATGGCCTGCCTTCTTGTCCATTGCTTCTTGTCCTGCCTTCAGATGCTTTGGAGAATAGATGGATCGTCTCTTCCTTGAGGCAGTCCTTCAAATATTGGAAGACTGTTATCATGTCACACCTAATCATTCTTTTCATTAGAATAGACATACCCAGTTCCTGCAACTGTTCTTCGTATGTTTTAGCCTCCAGACCCGTGTTGCTCTTCTCTGCATTCTGCACTCTTTTCTAGAGTCTCAACTTCTTTGATATGGTGACCAAATCTGGATGCAATATTTCAAGTTCAATTATCAATCAGAATAGAGCTGGAATGGACCTTTACGCTCTTCTAGTCCAACCCCCTGTTCAATCAGGAGACCTTATACCATTTCAGATAAGTGACTGTCCAGTCTCTTCTTAAAATCCTCCAGTGATGGAACACCCACAACTTCTGATGGCAAGCTGTTCCACTGGTTAATTTTTCTCACTGTTAGGAAGTTTCTCTTTAATTCCAGGTTGCTTCTCTGCTTGATTAGCTTTCATCCGTTGTTTCTTGTCCTGCCCTCTGGTGCTTTGGAAAATAAGTTGACCCCTCTTTGTGGTAGCCTCTCAAATACTGGAATACTGCTATCATGTCCCCCTCCCCCAGTCCTCCCTTTCTCTAGATTAGCCAAAGCCAAATCCTGCAACCGTTCTTCATATGTTTTAGTCTCCAGACCTTTAATCATCTTAGTTGCTCCTCTTTGCATTTTTTCCAGTCTCAACATTTTTTTTTGTAATGTGACCAAAATGTGGCGCAAAACTGGCCTAAGTGTCCAACTTGCAACCAACAGCTTGAATGCCATATTTGTGATCCATATTTGTTGTCAATCAAACCCTAATCTTGCCACTGTATGAGTGTTATTGTTTACTGACTGGTTACTAGGATCAATGATCCAATGTTCTTTTACAACATCTAAATAGAAAATGATATTACACTTTTAGAGCCCTCCCACCTAACACAGCAGAAGGCAATTCTTGGCACTTTTAACAAAATAAGAGCTTTTCTCAACACAAATGTGAACAAAATTGGTAAACTGTTTTCCTGGCTGTGATGAAACTATCATTATTTATCAGGGCTCTGAATTAATATTTGTCACTAATGTAAATCATGCCACATAAAAATAAGTCTGAGTCTATTTAAAAAAATTCTACTTTAGCATCTGACATTTTTGGCTGGAGAAAAAAAAATGATTTGGGGAAAAGCCGCACTGATGGATTGAGATTTCTGGAACCAAATGGTGAATCTGTGAAAATTGATTCTAGTACTGTGGTTTCATTGACAAATTCTCAAGCATTTGCCTTTTAGCACACGGTTAAAAGCCACATGTAAATTTTCATTTCTACTGGAAATATTCCTACTGTATATTACTTTATTTGAATCTTGAGGGTATTTGGGGGCAGAGGGCTTATACCACTGCTGAATTAGTGCAATGCTATGAATCTCAACAAAACAACACAATGGCAGGAAATGTACTGTCCCTGCTACTATAGGTAGTCCTTGACTACAATCACAATTGAGCCCAAAATTTCTGCTGCTTAGCAATCCAGTTGTTAAGTGAATTTGCCCTATTTTATGACATTTCTCGCCACAGTAATTATTACTGTGAATCACTGCAGTTGTTAAATTAATAACATCGCATTCCCTGCCTATTCCTGGCCACATCACGGCACATTCCACCCGAAGTGCGGCTACGTCAGCGGCCTGGTCGACACAGGCTTCCATCAAAGAAATCTGCAAGGCGGCAACTTGGTCCTCCCCTTCCTCCTTCATCAGGCATTACAAGTTGGACAAGTTTGCCTCTTCGGATGCTTCGTTTGGCCGGAGGGTGTTGCAACCAGTGATTTCATCTAGTGGGACACAAGCCCAGACTAGTTCCCCCCCCCCGTAGGGACATGAGCAGCTTTGGTATGTCCCACCAGTGGATTCTCCACTCATCATGCTGTAGAAGGGGCGTTGTCTTACCTGAATGCCTTTTCTCAGCATGATGATGGAGAATCCACACTCACCCTTTAAGGGTCGTCTGGTCCTGTGTCCGGGGTAGGAGGAGCCATCGCATCAGATGATTGTCGGTTGCTTCGCCTTGGTCAAAAACTGGGACAGTCTAGTCCAGCAGGAGGTGTGGCAACTTCTCTAGACTTAGTCTCTTCTGAGCAAGAAGGTTAATACAACATTGTTAAGTGAATCAGGCTTTCCCCTCGACTTTGCTCATCAGAAGGTTGCAACAGGTGATCATATGGACCCAGGATTCTGCAAGCCTCATAAATAGGAGTCAATTGCCAAGTGTCGGGCCATGTCTGGTTTGAGACGGACAATAAAAGTGTTGCCTCACTTCCTAATTTATATGCCTTCCTAGCTGTTCATGATACTCATCTATTAGGTTTCCCTAAAGCAGACGAGAATTTGGCTAATGCTGCCCAGAGACTCAGTGCAACACGCCTAGAGCTAAATATTTATTGTGGCTCAAAAATGGTAGCCATTGCAAACATTTTACTATGACTGAGCCAATAAGGCTGATCCCCAAACATATATATATCCCTGCACTCCTACTCTGAGCAGCTCTACACCCTAACAAACCACTAATAAACATGGTCTCCAGTGCCAAATGAAATAATTCACTTGATTAGCTGGGAGGATGAACAATGATTTTGGCTACATTAGGGCCAAGTGCACTTCTGATATGGACATGCATATGAGGAATTGAAGGCTACAGGGAGACAGATGATAACTAGTGAGCTAGGCTGTCAATTTCCCATTTCTTCTGAGTTGGGGAGGTGAGTGATCTGGGTTGCCCGTTTTGTTTTTTGTTTTTAAAAAAAACAATGTTAAACCGATTTTGGGGGATACACTACAGATTTTGATTGCTTCTTACCAAAAGGAGGCAGAACCAGTTGAATTGTGTCCACATAGAGTGCAGTCCTCAGAAGGGGTTCAGAATTAATTTTCAGTTGGGGCTACAGCTTGCCTAGCCATGATGTAGGCCGATAAAACCAGAGGCCAGAGTTAAAATTTCAGAAATTGGGCAGACGAGGAGGAGTCTGGCTCTCTCAGCTATGCATCTGGAAGTGTATGAAGGGATGATTTTGAGAGAAGTAAAAAAAATGGAGGTTTATCTTTTTATCTGTATAAATCCAACATTACCTTAAACCCCAACGTTTCAGATCATTCCTTAGTCAGGAATTGTTAAATTATTCTATTTTGCACACCTCCAGCAATACTCTCCCTTAGAGGTAGTTACTTTACCACCTTTCCTCATCTAACATCATAAGCTCCATGCTGCTATATATTAGATCTCTTTTTAGAGCATTTACATTCTCTTATTAGTGTTAACTGTTCTGCAAGCAGCAGCGGCAGCGGCAGGATTTTTGTTTTCTGATTTAGGAAAGCAAATGTGAATTATCTGGGTTGCTTCAACTCTAAGTGAAAAGAGGTAGGAAGAAATAATATGCAGCAACATCCAAAGTGATAATCGTGTCAGATGTGGGCTTGATGTTGTCACAGTGTAGATACTTGTTCCATCTTTTTTTCTTTTTCTTTTTTTGAATCCTCCCAAGATCTCTGACTCATGCATTCTTAAGCAGAATGCTGGACGTGCCTGGCGTTATTTTTGTTCCTCTGGACTCATGTCAGAAATGAATGAATGAAAAGAATGAGAGTGATGCTTTGGCAAAAGTTCTGCAGTACAATACTTGGAGTTTTGCCTTTTGATGTTTCTCAAGAACAAATAATGCAGTGTGGTGAAGCCCTTAGAACGTCTGATCCGATCCATGCAAGGGTATATCGGGAGATGTTCCGATGGATGCAAAATGAACATAGAATCACATCTTCCAACTCTCAGTGTTATGTTCTTAGTCAGCAGATCTTCGGCTCATAAATGTGGATTTTAAAAATAATGACAGCATTTCTGATAACACGATTATCTAGAGTGACAACTTTTTGGTTTGCTTTTGAATATCCATTTGGTGAGGATAGATCTGTAATTAGTCTCGATTAGATCCTCACTATGGAAACCTTTGCCTGATTTCTGCACATCAAGCTATCATTAAACCCACTGAAGAAAGATAGCTTATTCAGCAACCTTGATCTTAACCGCTCAGTTGATTCTGCTCAGACTTTATAAATTATAGAAGAGAATAATTTGGAATAAGCTCCATTACTGTTAAGATGATTCAGATATTCTTTTCAGCTCCTGAATAGGGCTTCTCTTGCCATTATTGCCAACATTTTTTCTCTCTCTCTTTTACTGAGATTTGTTTTGCTAGAAACAGCAAATGGAAATTTAGCTAGCAGAGTTTTTTTATTACTAAGATAAGTAGAAAGGAAAGCTTCATCTCTCAAGTGTATGTTTTTGGCAGTTTTTAAAGAGACAGGAGAACATTCAGAACGGTGGTAGACTCAGTCATTAAGGACCTCTGAGCAGAATGAAGATAAATGGGCACCATCTTCACCAGATTAAAAAACAGATTAAATCAGTACAGGATCAAATTCTTTACTAAATTATTATACATTCACAGTTTGTAATTGCTGAATATCGGCTGTGTTCCTATGATATGCCTAGAGTTAACTGAACACAGTTAACTCGTTTAACTTAATGTATACATTTGCATGATATCCTCAACTATAAATGGCCTGGACTGGCCAGGCTTAGACAATATATTAACTAATGTATGATTGGCTGAATTGTTCCATGTATTACATGAACACAGTCATTGGCTATTTAGTCCAAAGGGGTGGGGTGGGGGGGAACTACAAAGATTATCAAATAAGACACTATCTATTTCTAGGTGAAAAGAATGATCCTAGGAATTCAGAATAGATTCCTTATTAAGCTTCTATAGGACCCTCACAACCAACACTACTTTACCTTCCAGGTTAGCTTCTGAAGAAGCATTCACCAATCTGATGGATATGTGGCCATTAATATTAAGGTGACTGGCTCCATAATTGCTGAGACATTTGCATCACATAATTACATTGCAATATCAAGTTCCAAAATACAATGAAAAATCAAGTGGAAATGTCTCAATCCAACAGCACCAGGTGCTTTGCAGGGATTTATCAATGTGTGTTTTTTTACAACCTTTCTCTTCATTTCTTTTCTTGGAGGGCATATTATTTTGATCAGGTTGTTTTTCCTACTGTTTTGATAGATGGAGCAATTGTATGTATCTTGTCTTCTGTCTTCCAGGAGGAGGCTGTATTAACAGAGGGATAGAATCAAGATCACGTGAAGTATTAATATCACTTTACAATGCCTTGGTAAGGCCACACTTGGAATACTGCATCCAGTTTTGGTCACCACAATGTAAAAAAGAGACTTTAGAAAGAGTACAGAGAAGAGCAACAAAGATGATTAGGGGACTGGAGGCTAAAACATATAAAGAACGGTTGCTGGAATTAGGTATGTCTAGTCCAGACATGTCAAACACAAGGCCTGGGTGCCGGATGCGGCCCGCGAAGCCATCCTGGAAATAGTGAGGGAACAGCCCCCGCTGCCTTGGCCCTGGCCCAGGCCAGCCAGGAGCCAATGTAGAATTTTGTGGTGGCCATCCACGCTGAAACGCATTAAGTCTTAGCTCCCCGCCCCCCGCATGGCCTGAGAGGATCAGTAAGGCTCCTCCAGTGGATCATGCCTTGGCACTTACCCTGGTCCCACCCCCTTCTGCCAGAGACCCTCAGATCTGTCCCACTCCTGCCCAAGCCCCCCTTGATGCGAATGATGTAGAGCTCGCCATGCCTACCCAGTAGACCACACTCACTCCATTCATGCCCTCCCAGTAGGCTGCACCCACCTTGGCCACACACCCCAAGGGCAACCACAATGCTGATGCGGCCCTCAATGAAATTGAGTTTGACACCCCTGGTCTAGTCTAATGAAGAGAAGGATGAGGGGAGACATGATAGCAGTGTTCCAATATCTCAGGGACTGCCACAAAGAATTTGCCAGAAAGAGCATCTTGTTCATGAAAGTTTCTCTCGCTTGCTCAACTGATCTGGCAATTTGTTAAAGTGCCAATGAAGTCATCCAACCCACACATTAGATGAAAGATGCATCATCTGCAGCTGATAGGAAATTATGTTTGTCTCCTTTTTGTTTACTCCAGTTGTGCGGCAAATACATTACTGTTGCATTGTCTTCTGCTGGGATTTTATGAGACTCCTAGGGGAGACCAACCACATACGGTAGGTAGAGAGGGCACAGCTGTGCCCACTTTACAAGGACATGGAGAACGTTATAACATTTTGGGGGGATCTTTCTGGAAACCAGAGTGACTAGGTTAAAATGATTTGTTTCTGCAATTACAACCCTGGCTGCTTTCCAGACAGTGGATAGAGCACAAAAGTGTTTCTACCATTCAGCCGGGAGTTCCTTGAACTGCCAATCTGCAGTACAGCTTCAAAGTATCTGACTCTTTAAAACAGTGGTTCTCAACCTTTTTAATGCCGTGACCCCCAACCGGTCGTAGGTCGAGGACTACCCAACCGGTCGTAAGTCGAGGACTACCCAACCAGTCATAAGTCAAGGACTTTCCCTGCCTGGGAGTGCCGCACATGCGTGGTGCCGCCCCCTGTGCCGACCGAGGCGTAGCTGGCAAGCGGCAGAGACAGCGCAGGCCGACCACCGGCTGGGCCACCAGCTGGCCCAGCCCAAGGGAGGTAAGGCACCCGCCGGGCAACACGCGCACCAGCAACCCTCCCTGCACCCGCCGGCCTCCCACCTCCCACCCCTGGCCCTCTTTTACTTACATTTTTAGTAGTTGCTCAGCAGGGAGGGGTGGAAACTTCCAGACAGCTCGCCTTCGCTGCAGACAACTTGCAGCACCGTTTGCAGAATGGGACTTTTGGTGGGCTCAGCAGGGCAGAGACAGCCTGAACAATTCCTATTGGCTTTTGAAAGCCAATAGAATAAAAGGGAGTAGCACAGCTAAGGAAAAGGGGAAAAATGGCGGACTGCGTTGTTTGGCGACCCCAGTAAAATGGTCGTTCGACCCCAAATGGGGTCCCAACCCACAGGTTGAGAACCATTGCTTTAAAACATCAATCAGGAGGACTGTGCAAGAGGCACTATACCCCTTTGTACCAAATATAAAGTGATCCATTCCTTTAAAAATGAAAGAGGTACACTCCAGGCAAAGCTATGTACAGATAGTCCTCGACTTACATTAGTTCACTTAGTGACTGAAGCTACAACAGCACTGAAAAAAGTGACTTATGGCCATTTTTCACACTTATGACCAATGCAGCAGCCATTGGATGCTGGACAACTGTTTCACATTTACGACGGTCAGTGTCCCGGGGTCATGTGATCACCTTTTGCAGCTTTCTGACAAACAAAGTCAATGGGGAAACCGGGTTCACTTAATAACCGTGTTAGTAATTTAACAACTGCAGAGATGCACTTAACAAATGTAGCAAGAAAAGTCATAAACTCACTTAAACATATTCTCCCTTAGCAACATACATTTGAGGCTCAATTATGGTCATAAGTTGAGGATTACCTGTTTTATCTTTCTTCATCAGTTGATTGGAATGACAGCAGCAGCATCCCATAGAGTAGCTATTCAGAAGTAACCCCAAATCGGTCAGATTTATACATTGTGCTGAGTGAGATTTATTTAGCTATGGTTTGTAGAATAAAGGATAATTGACTGCATTCATATAACAGATGAAACTCTGAACCAAGTAAACCACATGTTGGCTTAATGCAAAGGTCTCAAAACTTTATGGTACCATAGTCCCCCAATATGAATCTTGAGATCAACTTTAACATCTAATCCCTATGACTCAACTAGCTTTACTGTATTTTCGCCTGTACTTTCCGTAGCCTAGTGAAGAGTTTTGGATGATGAAGAAATATAATTTCATTATTTTTTGTGGTATTGTGTCTAGCCTCGATATAGATATTGTGTGATGGGAGACATGGATGGTTTCCCCTCAAAGGATCAACATGGTTTCAAAAGAAAAAAAAAAGAAGAGAAAGTGACAAAGACTCTATAAAGAAAGGAATTAAAGGGCTGGAAGAAATCTGAGTGGGTGAAGAGACCAGCTGTTTCATCTTCATTTATCAGTGAATTGAAAGAGCAATTTTCTCATTGCAACTTGGCAGACCTATGAGCAGCAACAGCAGCTTGTTAAAAGTAGAGGGAACACTATGTACAAATATTTCACAAAGGACAAATTCAAGCAGTAATTACAAATCCTTTATTTCACCAGTTGTGGAAAAATTACATTATAAAATGAGATGTTGTAATAAATTAAGCTCTAATTATTAGGGTTGCATATGCTTGACTACTTATAGGCCAGCTTTGTAGCATGGGGTTTACTTTTAAGAGTGATGAAGCTACAAGTCCTTGACAACATCTTGTAGATCAGGGGTATCAAACTGCCAGCCCGCGGGCCGGACACGTCACACGGAAGCTGTGCCCACCCCATTGCCGGCAATGGCAAAACAGTCCCGATATGTTGCGTGACGTCATTGACATGCCTGTTGTAGATGGTCAAAATAGTATGTATTGGGGAAAATCTATGAAAATGGGATACCAAAAGAAAGAAAATGCCTCAAATTAATAATTATTTTAAAAATAATTTTCTAAGTTAAATCAGGAAAAAACTCCATGGTACTCTCTTTCTTGAGACAGTCATCATGTAATAAAATTTCATGACTCTGTTGCTACTTGTAACAGACTTTTATTTGTGAAATGGAAATTTACAATGAGTACTCATTAATGTGCTTTAAGAAGTCTCCTATGATTGAATTTCTAATGTTGAAGGAGTCTCTCCAATTTAAATTTGTAAGCCGCCCAGAGTAACTTGGTTGAGTTGGGCGGCTACAGAAATTGAATAAATAGTTAAATAAATAAAATTCACTACCAAATCCAAATTTTCTATGGTATTAACTTTATTGAGATGAGTACTAGTGTATTGCTGGGCTTCAAAATCTAAAGATGGTGAACCAGGAAATATTGTGTCTTCATTAAGTGGGTGGCCTGTGTCAGCAACCAACACGCTGGCTGAGGAATTCTGGAAGTTGAAGTCCACAAGTCATAAAAGGGCCAAGTTTGAAGACCCCTGTGCTATGAGAACAAAAGTGAGGAATTCCTTCACCTTAGTGATATGGCTAATGAAACATGGACACATTATTGTGAATATTGGAATATTATCACAAAGCTTTACATGGCTGGAGAGAGGGAGTCAAATCAAAGCCCAGGCTAAGGTAGGAAAATTTCATGGTTATGGTTTCTTGGGACATAGATGGTGTTATTCATATCAATTTTCTTAAGGCTGACATCACTCTTACCTCAAGAACTACAATGCAACATTCGAAACCTTGAAATAATGATTAAGTGGCGTTTGGAAGCACAAGCAGGAAAATTTTGTTGCAGCACGACACTGATAGGCCTCATGAGTTACCCAAGAGGCAACTACAAAACTGGATCACGTGTCTTTCCTTATTCTCTCCCTTTAGTCCAGACTAGATGACATGCAAATCTTCTCCTTTCCCAAAACTGAAAGGATAGTTTCAGAGGCATCTGTTTGTCTCTGTGGGAGAAGTTCAGATCGACTGGTTCTGCTGGGTATGGTGAGACACTGGCTGATTCTCCAAACACTGTGCCCAGTGACAGCAGTGAGGAAACTGAAGAGCAAACCCTAAAACAAGGTGATATCCTCATAGGCTCAGTAGCGAGATTTTTCTGCTTGTCTATTGTGAAATAAGTTAGCTGAAAGATGGTGGTGTTCATGGTTGTTGGGATGGTTATCAACTGCTCTAGGCAGAGCAAGAAGAGAAATATGGATGCATTAGCACCTCCAGAAGATGATGGAGACTGAGTGCATCCCCAGCAATGATCAAGCAGGCAACTGTAGTTTCTCCCATCTGCTTCTTTTACATTTAAGCAAAAAAAAAAAAGAGCCAGCAAAAGACAAAAAAAAAAAAAATCACAGAAATTTCCAGGATTTATTCTTTCTAAAGGCGGGAAATAATGTGTTAGACCGTTTGGAAGAATTTATATGGCATCCCAATAGCATGCTCAGATGACAGACCTGAGGTATCACATGGTTTAATGTCAGTTCTTTTAGAGAAACACAGAGGAGAAATTACTGTTTTAAAATTGTACTTATTACAGATTTTTCCCCCTAGAATAAAAGACAAATTGAAAAAAACAAGAAAATGCAAAAAAAAAAAAAAAAAATTGAAGAAAAATATAAATGACTTCCAAGCTTGTTTTCAAGAGATAATTACAATCTTAATGTCCCTTCTCCCTCTTAGATGTTATACAAAATCCTTCAGTCTATGTTTTAATTTTCAGATCTATAACTCCTCATATCATCTCTTTTTTCTTTCAGCAAAAAGTCCATCTAAGGCAGTGGTTCTCAACCTTTCTAATGCCGTGACCCCATAATACAGTTCCCCATGTTGTGGTGACCCCCAAGTGGGTGTGGCCACCAATAAGAGGGAGTAAGACAGCTAGGGAAAAGGGAAAAAAATGGCGGACAGCGTGGTTTGGCGACCCCCGTGAAATGGTCATTCGACCCCAAATGGGGTCCCAACCCACAGGTTGAGAACCACTGATCTAAGGCTAAGGTTTCCAATCTTTCAAGAAATTTGTTGTTTTTTTCTCTGATCACAGGTCAGTTGTGCCATTTCCACAAATTTTGGCATATTCACAATCCATCTCTCGACTGCGAGGATTTCATTATTCTTCCATCATTGTACATACAATAGTCTTACTACAATTACCATATTTTAAAAAGATCAATCTACCATGAGTCTTTTCTAATTCATTGTCCATAAGGCTCAATAAAAAGTCTCCACAGAGGAAAAATTAGAGGAGGCACATTTGGTTAAGGTGTTTGAAACGTTCTCTGACGTTCTTCCTAAAGTAATTTCTTTTTACCTGTTTATTATCTAGTAGGGCTTCCTTTGCCAGATTAATGAACCGTGAGGTAAATGTTTTATTTTTCAGGCTCTTTATAATTAAATATTTGTGCAATAGCCGTTTTCTTCCGCTTCTCTAGCAAAGAACAGGAATGGGTGATGGTGCTATAAATCAAGGCCTGCAATTAAGCCATTACTAGGATGGCTTATAATAGCCACTGTGGCAGCTACTTTGAAATTTAATCCTAAATACAGTTAAATAAGAGAGATTTTAATCATGAAAATAATTTTTGGGGCAGGAAGTTCAATCTTTTTCTTTATAGATAAATCACAGTTATCCCTGCTACACAGTTGTTCGGATTCGTGATGAGAGTAGAAAGAATAACCACTCCCGTGGCACTATCAACTAATCAATTTTATTATCATATAACATTTCATGAATTCCATCAGCTCAGTAACATGAATGATATCAGTTCTTACAAGAGATATTTCTACTTCCATACTGTTTGTGATGGAGAAGAAAGGGAAGGGCTAGGAATAAGCAGGGTTGCTTTAAAGAATGGGAGCTATAAAAATTACTTAGGTTCTGCTCATAAATTAAGTTATACTGTAATATATATTCCTACTTGCCCTATGCAGTAAACCCAACAACGAATATTCTACCCTCTCAAAGAATAGTAATTCCCTTATTGCATGAGATTTATAGCTCCAAGGTTTATTAGTGTTTATGAGATGTTGTAGTTTAGAAGAACAAAAAAATAGGAAGGGGGAATGGTAAAATTAGAAATACAGGTCTGCTTTGGAGTTGATGGCTAAACAAGTAAAAGTCATTGAAGTGGAAACAGTTGAATCAATAGAAGGCTGAAGATCTCAAACACTCCATTCCATCAGCCTTCACATTCTTGTCCTGCTTTTTTGAGTTGTGATAGCATGGCAGGAGCCACTGTCAGTGCTTATGTCCTAGAATTGAGTCATTTGCCATCCACTCCCTGTATTGGTGCATGAGAGTTTGGATTCTCACAACCTCACTGCCTTTCTGGCAATAAAAAGATCAAAAGCACAAACTTTAAATAATGTAGTACTTTTTAATACCGAATGAGCATTTAGGTCAGAGGTCCCAAATCTTTTGGGCATCAGGGACCGGTTACGTAGAGAGAGGTTTTTCTGCGGACTGGAGGGGGCTTGGTTTTGCATGCTGCTTGCATCCTGTGGATGGGGCTTTCCTTGTTTGTGCGGACCAGTTGCTGGCATGCCGTGGCCCGGTACTGGTTCACGGACCAGGGGTTGGGGACCCCTAATTTAGGTGGATGACTAGAGAATTCATCTTCCCCCCCCCATCGCCTGTGTGAGATAAAACCATCTCACAGGAAAATCAAGCATGTTACAAATGCAGTAGATAAAACAATAAAATAGACAAGTCCTGAAAAATATGAAAGAATATATAGTATTCCAGGCAGACCACAAATGATGCTGGTCTCCCCAAAGGAATATAGTTTAATATACAGACTACTGAAAGATTATAATAAAATCAATATGTTCCTGCTCAGCCTGAAGAAAAGGTAAAAGTTGAAATTCCAGAGTTAGGAGCCCTGATGGCGCAATGGCTGGAATGCAGTATTGCAGGAAAACTCTGCCCACAGCCTGGAGTTTGATTCTGACTTGCTCAGGTTTGACTCAGAATTCCATCCTTTCCAGGCTGGTAAAATAAGGACCCAGATTATTGGAGGCAATATGCTGATTCTGTAAACTACTTAGAGAGGGCTGTAAAGCACTGTGGGATGGTATATACTTAGTTTAATTGTTATTGTGTAGAGAACCAATAATACAAAAAAATCAGATGGTTTAGCATCACACAGAATAAAGGAGGCAATCTGATGCTAATACTGGCTAGAATTTACATCACTTTTTCTACAGCAAAGACCCCTTGCTTTCTTTTACTCAGACTGCCTTTTTCCTAGAAATTTCGACTTTAATCTAAGATTCAAGATGCTTGATGCCTCTTTTCAGTCTTGACCAACATCATTTTATTTTTATTTTCAGAGGAACAAAAACATTTCTGCATTCCAAGAAAGGAAGTGGGTTGGAGTAATGTGTCTCTATGCCTATGTGACAATGAACGTGTTTCCCTTGGGCAGATTTGTTCTGGATGTCTGTAAAAGTTTGAGCTGCGGAGGGGATTGTTACAACAGCCATACCTTTTGACATGGATGAAACTACCTGCTATACTGAAAAGGCTTAAATTATATATAATTAAAGGAAAATGAAATGAATTTACAGAATCTTGTAATTTATTTCAGCTATTTGGTGAGCTAATCAGTTTTCTACATCTTTTCTCATATAATACTTATGGTCAGAGGTAGAAAGTCTAGGGATATATATATATATATATATATATATATATATATATATATATATATATATATACATATACATACATACATATACATACATACATACATACATACATACATATATATATAGACTTCCAATCTCCAAAGATTTTCGTTTCTTGTAGAAAGTCTAGGGATATATATATATATATATATATATATATATATATATATATATACATACATACATACATACATACATACATACATACATACATATACATACATACATACATACATACATATAAACTTCAAATCTCCAAAGATTTTTGTTTCTTCCTCCCAACCACACCAATTTGGTCATTCTCTAGAGACAGAACTTTCTATATATGTATATTACTACATCCCATTGATTTCTGGATATTGTCATTTCTAATGTTATTAATGTCTGTAATTTTGTGTTTACAAATTGGCTTGCCCAATAAAAGATGAAGTTATGAACAGGTAACGGCCTAAACTATATAGGAAGATGAATATTTGTGTGTCCTCCTGAAGTTGTTGGCACCATAGTTACACTCTGAACTAGGCCACTAGGATGGATACAGGATCAAATTTGGTATCAGAGTCTGCTATAGGGTTTGGTTCCTATCTCTGCATTGAGATATAGTCTGTTAC